GCGCTATTTTTTCATATGTTCCAAGGTGTGCCGTTGGCAAAAAAAGGTTGAGAACTACTGATTTAAAGTCTTTTATATATTTTGCGGGAAACATTGGATTCATGAGCGGATGAACCCTATCAATTTTCAACATTCTGCGCCTTTCTGTTTCTGATTTCCACCTCTGCATCACATACATGTAGAGGGCCTGGCAAGGACAACACCTAGTTGTTCACCGCGGATGGTACAAAAAAAAAACCTAGGTCCTGTAGACATGTTGATGTGCATGTAAAAACCTTGACAGCAGTTCTTTTATAATTTCCCTCATAGCCAGATGAAGAAAAGTAAAACATTAAACCCTGTTTCATACATTCCTAAAACAGCTAAAACCTGCCTTGTCTTATAATTAGTCACCCTATTCAGATGGCTAACATAAGCCAGCTCAAAAATAAAGCTATCTTAAAGACAGGTAGCAAGCTTTTTTTTTAAAGAAAGGTTCAGTAATTACTTTGCTTTCAATTAGCATACTTGTAAAAAATGATTTTTTTGGGCATTTGAACATAAATTTAGAGATCAGGCTCAGAGCTACAACCAATAAACTTCCAAAATACAAAACACAGCTGACATTCACATGAAATTAGTTTGTTTATAGAACATTTTAAAATAATACATGATTCTGTGTGCACCCTTTAATTTTGTCCTCCACCTTTCAAAGAATGGAGGGAGCCATGGTGAGTCAGTGAGTAAGACAATTGGCTTGCTAACCTGGATGACCCGTGTTTGATCCTGGTGTTGGTTCGAGAAAGTTCATCTGCATTTTCCGGCGGGATTTGTCTTTGTAAGTGGTGCAGGACATACAGCCGGGCTAGGGACAAGGTACATGTATAGTCTTCAGATGGGACGAAAATCTGATGTCCCGTGTGGAATGCACATACAAGAACCCTTGGCAGTTGGAATTCGATGTAAGTGTAGGAATAGTACCACTGTCTGGGACAAAATTCTCTTCATAGCCGTGTGATGTGTATGCCGGTCTCCATTATCCGAGTCAGAGCAGAACAGTAGGACATTAAACCCCATTTCATTTCAAAGAAAGCTGGAGACTAATAAGATTGGTTTGTTTGTTGGTCGTTCTGTCTGTCTGGCACACTTTTTGGAACACAATAAATCTGTTGCTAAATGAGGTAAAATGTTCATTAGTTGAATACATCGACTGGGTTATATAATGAGCATTTCCCACTGAGGCTAATCAGGGACGAGCAGTTGTATTTCTAGAAAAAAATGTTTGAGTATGTAATTAATGAATTGACTATTGGCTATTGGTTTTAAACAGACCTATTATTCGGTGGTTAAATCTGTGCAATAAAATAATAGATTATGTGAGACTTTAAGTAATATTTTGAAACAACAGAATGAAATATGTCACACAGGGCCAAAATTTTAACTAGTATAAATAATGTACGCTTGGCACATTGCCTGTACCATTATTTTAAATAATGATACCCCAACATCAAAGAATGTCATCACATCTGTATTTTACAACCTTTTAATGTATGTATCTTACTTATAAATTTAATAAATGTTATAAAATATCACATAAAAACAATAAAGATACACACATTGGGGAACAGTTAGAGGTAAGATGACCTAGAAAAGAATGTTTTATGTTTAGTTAATTGTAGGTGGGACATATAGGAGATATATGTATATACTTTTACTGGTGTATATACAGTGATATCAGATAACGGTATATAAGGGTGTGGGATACTTAACTATATGTTTAATAGTTTATCAATGATGTTTATACTGCTATAAACCTCTTTATAAAAATACAATACTGCAGCTTTGAATTGTCATACCATATTTATCAGAGGGAGTGGGTGGGGTGGGGATAGAAGAGTATGAATGGTCATAAGATCTTGTGGATACAACCCTGCAATAAATGTGACAAACTAATTGGTTTGGGGTGGTTATAATTAAGGTCTTGTGAATTCGAACTAGTTCGCGACAAGCAGAGGTGGGTATTGTAACAACGGTCGATACATATTGTCGCCATTATTTCGGTCCATGCTTGGTTGAATACTAGGCGGAAATGCAGCTCTCTGCAAATTATCCTCCCAAGTATTGCCATATCACAAAATAACTATATGTTAGTCTCGAAATAACAGAGGTATTGTGTTAACAAAACGTCATTACAATCTGTGCCTCAGTGAAGAATAGATCGAAATCATCCCTAGCATTGCATATACACCTATACAACAAAATAACTGAAGTGTTTGTCTTGAAATGACCAGGGTATTTTCTTGAAATCGGCATTACAATCTGTTTCATGGCCGAGAATATGCAGAAATTCTGCTCTCTGTTCAACATTATCCTCTGTAGCATTCAACACATATTATAACAAGACGTAAAAACAGTTACTTTTTTGTTACAATATTGTGTATTATTGATTTGACACCTTTACGCAAATTTTTTAACCTCAATAAAACGAGTTTACTATTGCGGAAGGCAGACATCAATATGATTTGATTTTTTTTTACGCTTTTATTCTTATACTAAAATCTGTTTCCCCAACTTTTAAATATTCATATACTTATATCAATAAATTCTAACTGAAGAGAAAGATTAAATTTGAATAATAACAGCTGTGGTTAATTGTACTTGTTATATACAGATTTATAATCAATAGGTATATATTGTATACTATGGTGTAAAGCACATTACAAAGTAATAAATTTAAATTTAAATCTTGTATTCTTTGATGAAAGGGAAAATAAGGAGGGAGGGGAGATAATGCTTAATGAGAACGGAAATCTAACATGTAACATGTTCAAGCCCTTTTTTCTATGATAAATGACAGGGATATAATACTTTGAGAAAGGAAATCGAAGGAGACATACCGGTACATGTAATTCCAACCGCGTGGGTTTTCTCCGGGTCCTCCGATTTCCTCCCACTGCTAAAGACCCCTACACGCAAGCGAATTATTAAAATAAAATTGAACCATAAGTTAGTCCCGAAATGACCTAGTTTGAGTCGAGTGGACGTTAAACCCCATTTCTCACTCTCTCTCTCTCTCTCTCTCATACATGTAATTACATGTTTTAGCCTATTATTTTATCACAAAGGAGGGGGATGCATTATAATCACTTGAAAGGAAATCTAAAGAGACATCCATGCATAACTTGTTCAAGTCCTGAAAAAGGATAGTAAGGAGTACATGTAGGACATAATGCTTTTAATAAGGAAATCTAAGGAGAGAAACATGTACCATGTTCAGACTTATTATTTTATCACAAACGAGGGGGACATAATGCTTTGAGAAAGGAAATCTAAAGAGACATTCATGCGTAACTTGTTCAAGTAAGGAGTACATGTATAGGACATAATTTTTGGAGAAAGGAATCTATGGAGAGATACATGTACCATGTTCAGGCCCTTTATTCTGTGATAAAGGAGAATAGGGAGGGGCACATTATGATTTAACAAAGGACATGTAAGGAGACATACAAGCAATATGGTCAAGCTCATTATTTTATCATAAAAGAGAATAGGGATGGGAAATAATGCTTTAAGAAAGTAAATTTAATTCTTCTATGATAAAGGAGAAGAGAGGAAGAATTTGAACAATGCTTTGACAAGTGCAATCTTATTGTAGTACATGTAACATGATTGTAATCAAATATTTAAATGAGTTGAAATGTTGAATCTGATCTGTGGTATTTCAGTTATGGGTTGTGGCCTTGGTGTGGGGGACAGTGGGGTGGGTGGGGGAGTTGGTGTGCAGGGTGTTCTAACACATGTGTTGTTGATTATGGTGGCTAAGTGGGTAAAATGCTGGCTTGCAAGCCTGGGGGTCCCCTGTTTGATCCCTGCATTGGCCGAGAAAGTTATCAGGATTTTGTGATGTGGTTTCCCCTTGTGCCGTACAGAGGGCCTGACAAGGACAGCTACATGTATCTAGTCTTTCAGATAGGACGAAAACCGAGGTCCCTTGTATACATGTACATTTCAATTCATTTCTGTAATCTGAGGCATTGTTAAAGACTTCTGTGCACAAGCTATTTATTGAATAAAGACCTGCCAAGTGACAGAGTTAGTCTTGAGTAAATCCCCTCTCTCTCTCTCTCTCTCAGTAGTATTGGACAGTAGTATTGGCTTGTGTCGTTCCGATTATAGATTTGGGAATTTTTTTTTTAAGTTGTTGGTGGACTTCTCTGCTACTGAATTTTGAGATTATTTTTATCGTCTGAGACATCTTTACCTGACATGTATTGTACCGGGTGACACAAAAAAAGCGTTCATCACCTAAACTTGGTCGACGAAGAGGGGTCTTCAGGGACCTCCAGTGGTTCCAGCAGGATGGTGCCACCCCCCACACCTCAAATGAATCATTGGCATGGCTACAGCAGTGTTTCCCTGACCGACTGATCAGCCGCAGGTGTGACCCGGAGTGGTCGCCGCATTCACCGGACTTGAACGCCCCAGATTTTTATCTGTGGGGATACCTTAAGGACAGGGTGTATGGCAACAACCCCCAGACTATCCCTGATCTGAAGGCAGCAATCACAGCAGCAATAAAAGCGATCCCAAGGGAAGAATGTGGGAGGGTCATTGAGAACTTTGCCCGCCGGATCCAAATGTGCTTGCACCACCGGGGAGCTCATTTAGAGCACATTTTTTGAGCGCCAGTTAAACAAAGAGTTTTTGTGGTACAGACTTGAAACTTTGGAGATGTCTGCTACATAGACCTAACCTAATGTAGCTGAATTTTTGTGTTAATCTAAATAAAATTTTGGAAGTTATTCGATTTTTATTGATGAACGTTTTTTTTTGTGTCACCCTGTACATGTAAGACATCTTCTGCTAAATTATGCAGTGCATGTAATGAACAAATGTTGCGATTCATCTTTAACAATACCATTTGACATTATTGTGCAACATGCACAGGTATGAGAAATATAGATGAAATGCAATTAAATGAAGTTGAATGTTTAATAAAACATCTTCATCTTTTATTTCAGACATTAGATTTTGATTTACAAGGAGTACCAGCTAGCAGTAACGATGAAGTGGTTATAGAAATCAAAGATTGGGAACGGGTTGGTAGAAACAGGTAAAAACTAGATCAGTTTTCTCATTTAACAAATTACCAATAAATACTTCAGATAATCTCAACAGTTCTATGAATGGTAATTGCAGCTACATTTTTATATGCCTAAATTGAAATGTGGTTGTTTATTGTCGTTATCCCTTTCTGTCAGTCTGTCTAGTATCCGGCATACGCGATTAATTGTGGACAATCTTAGCTGGAGACTGAACTTAATATCTGATTGATATTCACATTTATGTGGACGCTTAGAGACCCAAGTTATCATCTGATTGACTTGAAATTAACACACAGTGTTTAAAGCCATGAGATGAAGAATCCTATTGATTTCCAACAATATCCAATAATTTCAACAACTAAATTCTTATGATTTCTGATAATTACTTGATGGGTAAACACTCTTAATCAAAGAAAAGATATGACAACACTTGTTGACAGCTTGGACGACCCGTCAGTGACGTATGCTTTGTTGCCAAGCAACCTTACAATTATCTCTTGTCCTTAGAAATATTATTATTTTAACATGTTAAATTTTTCATTGCCTCTTAATCAATAAATAAATAATTCATAACTTTAGCTATAGCCATCTTTAAATTTTTATGACAGGTAGGCTAACGAAGAAGACAAATTCAACTGCTACCCCTGTGAAATCCTTCCTTTAATACTGGACATACCATATAGATATTGAATAAAACAAAAAAATGTATTGTTCTAGACAACAGATATAGGATGTATTTATTCTGCTATGATATTTATATTCTAGAATAGTTGTATTGATTTTAAAGCAGGTGTTGACAATATCAGTTTACTATTTTATTAAAAACACAACTGTCATTTGTTTACGTCACTATAACTTTCTCAATACATGTGGGTTTGAGATATCGATCAAAGTAAAATTACTAATGCACTATGCCAGGATTTTTCTAAGTGGGTGCTCAAGTTTGAATGACTGCAGGTCATGTAGTGAGCACTGAAGGTGCAAGTTTTCTTGTGTGGATGAAGGGCATGTTTAAGTTTTGGCATCGTTTTGTGCAATTTTGGGTAGAGGTGGGCGATATCCTTGGAAACGGATATCGCAATATTTTCAGACAATTTTGCGATATAATTATAATGAAAAAAGGACTGTTGTTTATTTCATAGTTTATAAATTTTATATAAAAAATTGAAAACCTAAATGGGCATTGTTGTTCAAGTTTGTGATCTCTTATTTCTTGTATAAAATCCCTTCATGATGACGTACAATATCAACATGCATTGAAATGGGATCAAAGAGAGGTCTGCACGACATACTGCTGCATTCTCTAGTTCTATCTTTTTGATCATCATGCAATGGAATTATTCCATATTCCAGTGGCATGTTTTATCAGTTTCAGTGTTGTATATTTATGTCTGTTTGCACATGCGCAGAAACAGTGTTCTTAAAAAAACCGCATTGTTGAGAGACCCAAACTCTCAAGAGACTCAAACTCTCGAAAAATGTGTGAATAAGGCAACTAAAATAATCGTACCGAGTGTCAAGCAAATTAATGATTTAATTGTTCACAACTCAAATAATATTTTAGAGTTTTTTTGCCAAGTTCTTTTAAACAGATATCGGCGACTCCAGTATTTGCAAAATGACTGAGTATCGGCCAATACTGACTTTGAAACCGATTATCGGACCATCACTAGGTTCACAGATCTATCAAAGACTTGCTAAAAATGTTGTTTTTGTACGATATGAACTAATATTATAATTAAGATTATTTACATATGATGTAGAGAGCTGGACAATATTTGTTTTTTCGATATAAAGACCGTCAAAACTACCATAGCGTTTGATTAATTTTATGGAGTTGTTGTTGGGTTCCAATAACATGTACTAACATGAATGAAAACATTACAAATTTCATTTCAATAAAAATGTCATTGCTACGATAAAAAACAAAGTCTTAGTTTCCCATTTTAACTAAGCTGATTAAATGACGCAGGAGTTATAATCCACTGAATATCCCAGCCATTAATTAATAGCCTAGAGAGTTGATTAGGGGCTTGTCATGTAAATAAATAACTAAATTATAATCTATGTAACATTGTGCAGAAGATCAAGCTATTACATAATGCATCTTTAACTATTTGAGTGGGTATTCTTTTAGCATCTTTTAAGACTATGTTGACTCATCGTGAGGAAGTTGTTTACAAGACATGAAGATTATGAATGAAAGCTATTGTTTTCATTGCATAACTTGTTTGTTAGTTTTTATCATGTGAGACGTGATGCATCATTAACTTCTAGTCATTTGACATGTTCATGTTAAAAGTGACTAATCTGGTGGTCGGATTATTGAAATTTCTTTTACAAGGGAAATAACTGCGTTATAACTCACAGCAAAATCTTACATAAATTGTTTAAGCAGCATTTAGTAACTTATATTGGATATATTTGTGTTAAAATCATTTATCACCCAATAATACATTCTTCAGTAGATATCGCTTTACATGAATTTGATTGCTCTGCATTGAGTTGTCACCTGGTCAACATCACATCATATTGCCAAAGACGTGGGTCTGTCACAGTTAAGAACTCCTCCATGGTCAGTGATGTAGCCCAAGAAGGCCCCGAAGAACATGCTTCTATTGTTGAAGATGCCCCAGCACCTTCCCAGATGGACATAGTGAATGAGGTCCATCAGTCAGCAGTGCAGTACTCTTGTGACAGTGATGAGCATCCTTCCAGTAAGGCTGCAAAGTCCCAGAAGAAGCACAAAAGAGAGCTGGGGATGGCTGACTTCACTGAGGAGCAGGAGATAGTTGTCTGGCTTTAGGCCCCCAAGCAAGATTACCTCCACAACAAGAACCCTCAAAACTACATGAAGAAGGAACTGAACGATTCACTGTTGGAAAAGAAGACCAGGGAGATGGGCAAGACCGGTGACCAGCTGAAGAAGCAGTACTCTCTGACCAGACTTTGGGCAGTATTTGGGTAGCAATTGAACCACATTCGAAAAACATTCTTACATAGGTGTAAGAATTTAGATCAATTTGAAATTTGCTCTTGAATGTGGCACAGATTTTGAGAATTCTTCATTTTTGATTCCTACTGTGACAGGGTACTATAATTTGATAATGCTTTCCCAGTTATGCCCCTGATGATAACATGATTATATAAATGTATTTATTATGTATTGTAGATTAGGACCACTGATTATTAAATGATTATAAATATGTATTTATTATACATTGTAGATTATTAGGAACACTAAAGGTAAAGTTAGGTGACTTAACACGTGGTGGTCTTCAATCTAAAACCCTCAGTGAAAATCTGTTAGATGCTAATGGCAGACCACATCAGGTAATAAATAATATATAATTTTTAGCAATAGAATCTTTATGATAATATTATATTCAATGTAATAAATTCTCTGCTTATTAAAGCAACCCCCTGTTACAATCTTATACGTCCAGAAAGTCGTCCAGAAATCAGCTTCCTTAAACATGATTTAGAACCTGGATTAAATAAACTTAGTTTTCTGACTGAACAGAGTAAATGCAGATGTTTGTTGTGTGGGGCTCAGAGATCTGCAAATTGTCCCAATGGGTCAGCGAGTAGAAAAGGGTTATAAACTACTGTTAATGTGGTTTAAACTACATGTACATGTAGCTAAGTCTCTAACTCAATATCATCCAAAGTCTTCGACATTGAAAACACGAATTATTTGTCAATTTAAATCAACATTGATGTTGTGATTTTACTGGGAAAAGATGGGCTTCTTATATCCAATATTTAAGACAAAATAAACATTTTACCATTGGAACACAAATCGTGTACCATAATGCATTTCAGCGCAATTTGTAAAAAGGGACTTGAAGAACAAAGCTAAACATATTCCACAAGTCATGTCAAACGGTGACAACATATTTTTATCTGGAGAGCATGCTCAATAAATGCTATCAGTGTAAATTTGAATAACCAGACGCTAGCGATTGTCATTCGATTGAGACTTCTGACGTATTTTGCCGAACACAACTGATTTGATATTAGAGTAAAAACAGAAACGATTGAATGTAAATCAATTTATATACATTCATATTACATTATGTGCATTGCGACCCATTTGTGTCAATTTCTAGGTCCCAAATATTAGGGATTTAGCTCCTTTAAGTTAGATTGACTATTGTAAATTTTGATTACAATTTTTTGGCCTACACCCACACCCTACTTGCAGTTATTGAAGATAATTGTGAGTTTTTAAAGAATTTATCATGCTAGACTCTATATATGGTGCTGTTACCATTGTTGAAGCATTCTGTACATGTATATAGTTGAAGATGTATGATAAAAAATATTTGCATCACAGTAATAAACAACTCCAATAGATCTCAAAGTTATGTAAAGACCCTAAATTGATATAGCCATCCATAAACTGTAATTGATTAAATTATTATTTAGATATTTCAGCACCATAATATATTCATTTATAGTAATGAATAATGTTTTTTATTTATTTTCAGTCTAAGTTAAATTTTAAAATTACGTATATTCCCCCAGCTGGTAGTCAATCTGGGGACTCAGAAACACAAGGTTCACAAGGTTTGTATATCTTTACTACTGTTTGATTGTGTGTGGTTATGTCTTACAGGTATTACATGTTAGATTTGTATTGTTCGTTGGGTAGCAAAGTGGTCTAAAAACATGTGCTTGAAATCAGGCAGGGCTAATCAAGATGGTTATACCTCATAGAGTGTGCTAAAAGGAAAATTTTGCCCGGACAGTTACACTACAGTCTACTCTTTTTTCGAATTTCAACTGTCAAGGGTTCTTGACATGGCCGTCAATGTGTACACAGGAATTCGGTTTTCCCTACCATACGATTGAATATAAGGTGTCACTTGCCAGGCCCTCCGTCCTGCACCACTCCCAATTAATGTTCACGGTCAGCAAGCCAATATCTGACTCACTGAGCCACAGCTCCCCAGTCAGAATCCAGTGGCATATTTTTTCTACCCTTGCCTTACAATATGGGGTTTCTGTGCACAAGCCATTTATTAAAATAAAGATATGTTAGTCCAAAAATAACATAGTTTGTAATGTGGGGACGTCATGATCACTCTCTCATTTAATGTAGAACTCCAGGAAAAAAAGTGCCACAAATTATTGTGACATTACATGTGAAGAGGCAAGTTATCTCCTTAATCCTGTATTTATTGTTTAGACACCAACTCAAATACATGTAGAATAATTTATTTGAAGCCAACGTATCACTGCCCTTGAAAAATTGAGTACTTTGAACTTTAAAAAGATACTAGTATATAATTAGAGTAATATTAGTTGTTTTTAGTTGTTTCTACTTCAGGGATAAAATATTGAAATGACTGTATAATAATCTTCAGGATTGTTAAGCCTGCTTATAATTATTGTCATATATTAGATCTGTTGGGCTGACAGGGATATGCAACAAGTTTGTCCCAATAAAATGGATTTAGACTGATTGAATTCGGAAACTGCTCCAGGGAAATTATGCTCCTGTGTAGCACAATAAATTCCAATTGTCAAACAATTATTATACAAACATACATTGGGGCCACATTATAGTGCAGTGTGCTGTAAGGCAGATTTAAGTATAACTCACAATAGTGCTAATAGCCAATTCGTTATTTGGTTTTTAGGATGTGTAAATAACACATTAGAACTGTTTGCAATGAGTAAACCCTAACAATAGCATTATAGAAAAACCTTACTGCATTGTGAGGATCTGAAAATAATACAGTGTTTGTGAAATAAGAGTTCGGGGGGGGGGGGGGGGAGGTACCATACTCAATATATCCTAACATTTGTGTTATAGAAAACCCTCATTTTATTATTAGTAGTGTTTGCTAAAAAGGGGTGACAACCTCAGATCCCAAATTTAGCATTATACATATAGATAAACCTTACTGTATTATTAGGGGTGTAATGAGTGTGCCCCAACATTAGCGTTAAAGATAAACTTACTGTATTATTAGGGGTGTAATCAGTGTATCCCAACATTAGCGTTATAGATAAACCTTACTGTATTATTAGGGGTGTAATCAGTGTACCTCAACATTAGAGTTCTTGATAAACTTTACTGTATTATTAGGGGTGTAATCAGTGTACCCCAACATTAGAGTTCTTGATAAACTTTACCATATTATTAGGGGTGAAATCAGTGTACCTCAACATCAGAGTTCTTGATAAACTTTACTGTATTATTAGGGGTGTAATCAGTGTACCTTAATATTAGCTAGATTTCTTGATAAACTTTACTGTATTATAAGGGGTAAAATCGGTGTACCTCAACATTAGAGTTCTCGATAAACTATATTGTAATTATTGTTAGTCTGATTTATGCTAACCAAATATAATCGATTTCATTAGATGGTTTGTCAAAGGAATTTATCACAACTGACATTTTACATTATATTTGAATATTCATCAGATTGGTCTGATATTTGTCAAATTATGATTTATTAATTGTTCTGTCATTATGGCTTCTGTATTGGTTGAAGACGGTACATTTTTATACGGGGTTTGTGAATGATGGTTGAGACGATGTTCATTTTCAAATGAAATAAGTTTGGTCATATGAAGTTTGAACTGTGCATTTTAATATTTAAAGGAAGTTTGAATCTTGAAACCAGTTTGTGGAGTTCTTTATCGTGGTAGTGATGTTTGGTGACAGCTAGTTTAATTTCAAACGTTTGATTATGGCTAGATTCATTTAAAAATTGAGTAATAACAGGATTTATTTAAATATTTCGGATTTTAGTTATTACATAGTGTGTACTTGTGTTTTCAATTTGATGATTGTCTGTTATTCAGTTTAAAGGATGTCTTTGTAATGTAAGGATTAGTGTAAGTTTTAGAGTGACAGATCGTATGTTTTTATTTGTTTTTTAGTCTGTTTTTAATTTCAAATCTATGTTTTAATATTAATTAAAGTGGCATTAGGCAAGATAAGATAAAGAGCTGGCAGTTCTCACTATAATAGTTAACAAATAGATAACGAAATCAGAATATGCTGAAAATTTCAGTCAAATAATGATTCAATTTTAGGCTAGCCTTCAACATCATTACTAACGTAAGTGCGGTAATAAACCAAGTCTTGATTATCCATTTTTACATTAAATTATCCATCACAAAATGTATTCAAATCCAATAAATATCGCAGGCTAACGATGGCATCAAGTCTTGATTATGGTCTGGATAAGTTAATTAATATCTAATTATTAATTTGAATAACATTTCAGGCCTGAAGAACGAACTGCAATAGGCAGATTTAGTTCTTGTATTATGTATGTTTAATGCTTGGTTAGCCATTAGAAACAGACAGCAATTAATTATATCTGTCAGTCAATTTAAATTATGACAAAACTAGAAATAAATGCAGTTAAATTTATAATTTTTATACATGTATATGTAAAAAGTCTTCAAAATGAAAATAGTAAGTAGCTACATACAGTGTCCATTGTGAATGATTAGCTTTGTGAAGTATGGTTTAACTTCTGATCAAAACAAGTAAGTAATTTTGAGACCAAATGAATACCTTTATTTTATTCTGAAAATGGCATATTTCAGTTTGGTAGCTGTAAAAATGCTTCTGTCACTGAGTAGATTGTAGATAAATGGCTCAGTTTTGCAATATTTCCCAAAATTTGGGCTAATCAAATTTTTTCCAGAAATTGCATTGGAGGAATTTTCTAAAATTTTGTAAAAAGTGAAGATATTGTGTTTTGTTGTTTATATTTGTAGTATCTATTTAGCTTCATTTCATCCATCCCGAGTACATTGTTTATCTTTTCCTTTTTGTAGCTTTTACATATTTGTGTGAAAAGTTGAAATTGCCTGTTGTGTAGGTCACATTTGTTTGTTAGATTTTACATAGATATTTCTATGTTTTCTCATAAAATGATACTTTTCTATTCTTTGTTTTGCTCAGTTGTGTTAAGCATTTAAATTTTGTTGGGGTATTGTTTCCCAAGGAAACTTTCCTCTACAAGTTCACTTCAGTTTGGACCACATACTTACAATTTGAGACAGGTCATTTCACGTCAGTAGTTTCTTCATTAGTGATATCTCAATAAAACTATTCTAATGATTTCCTGTCTGGTTCTCCAAAAGTTTCATTTAATCGACAAAACAGTGCAGCTTGTGACATGGACTTCAAACAGAGCCAGCTGCCCTTCATTGTCTATCTGTGGAACGTAGGACAGATCATAGAATCCTCACAACAGTCTACAAGGCACCTCACAAACATATTATTGTTAGTTAATACTTAACACCCACCAAACAGTATTATTTTGGTTAAGTAAGGAAATTATTGAACCTTTTACTGCTCTTTTGATGATTTTACATACCTAATTAAAGTTTTTGATGGCCGAGTTGATAATAAATGATTTTAGATTTGACTATTCAGCAAAAGAAAGCATTTTTAAAATTAGATTGTATGCTAAATTACGGATGGTTTTGCCAAGCCGTTGCCGAGATTGACATATTTTAACATTTAGTTTATGAGATCTGTTAATGGATTAAGAGATTAGCAAATGATTTTTAGAAATTCTTTACAGAATTTTTGTTCAGATGAATCTAAGGTAATTTTGAATATATTATTCTGATAAATTGATGTTGATTATTTGATACATGTATTAGAACAGAACAGAGGTATACATGTAATTACGAAAAAACTCCTTTGAGTAACACAGCGCAACAACTTTTTTTAAAGACACTGATCATCATTTGAGATGATTTCAAATCTCCTGCAAACTGCAATATTGTGAAATTGAGTCTTTAAGGGAATATCAGGCCAAAAACGATTCACTTCTTTTCAGTATTTACAAAGATGTGATGAATTAATAACTTAGCAACAATCAGCATCTTTTTGAGTACAGATAATAAAAACAGTCCAGTGCAATCTATTAGTGTATTGTAAAATCTTCTGATGGGCCTCTTGAATCCAAGCTGGGAAATTATCTACTGTCAATATTTCCTTTTTCTTTTCTTGAATAAACAAGCATCATGCAAGCGTTAAATCTGTCTATTGCCGGTCTTTCTTTAGGTCTCAAATGTTATATAAACTATTAATTAGACATTTATTAACATGAAAAGACCATAATCAACTCTCGATACCATTACATTTGAATCCGATCTGCTATTCAATGCTCATTGATGATTAAACACAAAAATGGATAATCAAGACATGTATTTTATCATACCGACTTTAGTAATGATGATCGAGGTTAGGCCTAAAGTTCAATCGCTAATATCTCGGATTTAGAGTGGAGCAATTTACAGCATATTCCCTTTATATTATCTAGTTTTTAACTATGATAGTGAGAATTGCTAGCTCTTTATCAAATCTCCCATAATGCCCCTTTAAATGAATTTTGAGTACATTTTAACGTAGGTGAAGCCATAACTATTAGATATTGTCTGTCAAACGCAAATAAAGATCAGCAGCTTTAAACCTTAAATTCTGCTCTTATCTGTGCTTGTATCAAATATGTTAATTTATTTTTATTTTGAAGTATCTACGAAGAAAGTTTTTGTATATGTATGAGATTTTATTGATTTAAAAGTATAATAGATTCGCTTTGCAACAGATTGGATTGATTTCTTAATATGTATTACTAACACATATAGTTTGTTGAGATTGATGAAAATAACACCTATTCGTGTAGAGGGGATACAGATTTAGTTTATACTACCGTGTTCATATCATGGGTAAGTTTTACTAATAGCTTTTGTTTCTTAATTAGTTTATTGAACAGTCGAAAAAGTTTCGTCCTATTTAGTATCATTTTGTTATTAACACATAACATATTTTAATATAAAATCTGTAAATTTAATGCTGTTTTCAACCTACTGCGATCAATTATTCTAGATTTATGGCAAGTCGTTTAAACTCAATTTGTTTCAAATAATAGACGCCCAGCATACAAATTTCAAGAAAATTCAATTGTATTGTGTGATTCATTTAAGTATTTAGTTTGTGAAAAGGAATTATTTCAAAGGTGTTGGGAAAAGTTTTAAGAAAATTGTTTGGTGAAAAAATTGGTGGTGGATGTTAATGCATTCTTCAGTTGAATTTTTTAATAGGATTGTACATAGTTTGCTTCTTTGTCTTTTCTTGAAATGTTTTATTAACGTCAAAGTAGGTTTTGAAAGCAGTTATCTGAACATCTTATGAATATAATGTGTCCAACTAGTTGATTTCAGAGCCAAAATTGGGTGAAATATTTTATGTGATATAATCTTGTGTTCCTCGTATTCAATGATGTCTTGAACATCGACAACAGGAATGCATGTTATTGTTGATTTTGAAAATAGTTATCTGAAAATATTTTATTTATACAAGCTGATTTGATTATCTAAAATTCAGTGAAATATGTCATCATTAAAAGCTACTTATTTGCTGTTACTTTGATCATCAAGAACAGGAATGATGTAATGTTGATTTTTTAAAAATCTTTAATTTATATACACGTCAAACATTGTGATTCGCTGAGAGTAAAGTATTTTATACAATTGATGATACTGGAATTAACTGACATTTTAAACATCAAAAAGGAATTTATGCATCTTTTGTACATAGTGTAAATTGTCAATTGTGAATCTACTTTGATTAAAGAACAAATGATATTCTGATAACTGAAAAAAAAACCCCCAAAAACGATCTAATACAATATGTCTGAAACACAAAGTGATGATCCTGTAAAGGTTGAACCTGAAAAAGTTGCAGTAGTAGAAAAACCAATAGCAAAAACTGAAGCTAAACCTGAAGCTGCTGCGACACCGCCAAAAGCACCAGCAGCAGCCAGTAAGTTCAGTCATAGAAAAGTATTGGCATGTATCAGAACGTAACTTATTGCCGCTGATTGTACAAAAAATTACTTTTTTTAGCTTGTGCACACTCTAGAGGTCACAATTTTTGACTGATTTTGATGAAGTGTATGTTTATAATCTAAAGATCTTGGATCATTTCAATACTGGCACTTCTTATATTATGGCCCGATTGTATGAAAAATCATGTTTTTAGCTTGTGGAACCTAAAGGTCACAATTTTCTTTGGATTTTAAAGAGCATTTATACACCAGAATTACGAGTAAGTTCAAATTTGGAAAAAAACTTCCCATGGCAGCTCCAGTTTACAAAAATAAGTGTAAAAGTACATGTATGTAATATCAAGGTAGTGGACCCTTTAGAGGTCACAATTTTATCCAGTTTTATGAAACTTAAAATATATGTTTATATACCAAAGATCTCAGTTTATTTTGATATTGGCATATATCGGGCCGTAACTGTCTAGATTATGGCTGATTGTATGAAAAATCGTGTTTTTAGCTTGTGGTCTCTCTAGAGGTCGTAATTTTATCTGATTTTGATGGAACTTAAAACATAGGTCTATATCCCCAAGATACATGTAGCGGTTCTGTTCGATATTGATGCATGTCAGACCGTAAGTAACATCCTGGATTATGGCCCCTGATGGTATGAAAAGTCATTTTGTGGATGCTCGATTGAATTCTGTCAAATCCAAAACTAGTGACAATCGAGTAAAAATGAGGATTTGGGGCAAAGGCATACGACGACTGCATGAGCAAATATCTCAACCAACCATGACAATTGAAACAAATTTGTTGTGTTTATTTACATCACAATTCTACTAGCACCACCTCCGATGTCGGGCCTGACAGAACTGTGACAGGACTGAATTTCACGTCACTCGATGGCAATTCCGTCAATTCGGGACGTTCTAGACTAACAATCGAGCACCCCCATAATTTCTTACTTTGTTCTCTATCCACCTCCTTCAAAATGGGGGTGTGTATCTTGCATGGCAACCACATGTTTTGATCTTCATTGGTCAACTAATGAAATTAAATCAGTTTCTTGATTCCAATAGGAAATATATTATTTTATTAATGAAAAAGCCCTTTTGTGACAGAAAAATAAGTTAAACAATATTAGACTTAAAAGTATCATTGCATAATTTTAGCGCAATATATATCCCTTGCACACTACAATATTGTGAAAGATTATTCTCTAATATAAATATCGGACCAAATATTGTTCTATTTCGTTCAGTTTATACCAAAATATGTAGAATTGAAACTTCATCAATCTATTAATTTAAAGAAAAATCACTTTTCTGAAAAAAAATAAGTTAAACAATGTAGACTTTAAGGACGTATTTTTATCGAATAAACAAAGACAGATAATTTATTGAGAAATATTTTGAATATATACGGAGTGTTGACCCTTTTCTCAGAATTGTTTTGTAGCAGTCATGAATATTATTCATAATATGATGTACTACACTATAATTATGCACCAAAAATGCTGAAGCCAGTTGTTATGGCCAGTTGATGTAAAAATGAATTAAGAGCCTGCGTTCTGAAGATTCTTTCATTTATTAATGAATGATATCACTGCTCTTGATAAATCTTTAGACACAATATTTTAATGAATATTGTTATTCAGACTGCATATAATTTTGTGGTGAATCTTTGCCATTTTTCTATTGTGATGATCAACTCAGTACAAAGAAATAAATATAAGAAATTTTAGTTCATCATTATCTCCAATGGGACCAATATCATTCCATTCTGCTTGTGTCCTTCTTGGATTCAAAGTTAATTAACAATTGGTAGTATTTGTAGTGGTCATTAACTTAATTCTTTGCAGTCCTTTTGCCCTAGTCCAGTGTTGGACAAGAAAGTTTAAGATTTTCAAGACTGTTTTCCCTTTGCCATGAAAAAAGATGAGATCTTGTGTACCATTGACAGCATGTTAAACATCCTTGTCTGTTGAAAATAGAAATAAGAGAAGGCGATAGCACCGCTGTTAGGACAACATTTCCTGAATAGCATAATGTATGGTGTAGGCTTGTTTTGGATAGCCCAATTGGTGCAGAGAAGTAAGATGTTAAACCAAATTTCATTTCAATTTGCATTCCTTCAGAACACCCGGGGTTCACTAAATAAAAGAACATGGGATAACATTGGTTCTTAATTTAATTACAGGACAGGTCGTAGAACAGGGCGATGACGATGATTCAGAAGAAGATGAAGAAGAAGCAGCAGGTGACCAGGGGGATGGTGGTGGTGGTCCTGGAGTATCGAAGAGAAAAAAGAAACGTAAAATGGGCAAGCGCAAGAAAACAAGATCAAGTCTTTCAAACAAACCTCAAGATTTTCAAGTAAGTTTAATTTCCTGTTTTCTTTAAACATAAATTATGCAAGAGCTAAATCTGTCTATTGCAGGTCTTTCTTTAGGCCTGAAATGTTATCTAAATTATTAATTAGACATTAATTAACTTATCCAGACCATAATCAACTCTAGATGGCATCGCTAGCCTGCGATCTTAAGTGGATTGTGATCAGATTTACTGCATAACTTTCCTTCTCGATTAAATGGATAATCGAGACTATGCTGTTTAACGTACTGACTTTAGTAATGATGACCGAGGCTAGACAGAAATTTTATTCCTTAGTTCTCGGTTCATAGTGGATCAATTTGAATGAAATTTTCAGCAAATTGCCTTTACGTTATCTAGTTTTTAATTATTATAGTGAGAACTGCCAACTCGTTATCGAATCTCCCATAATGTATCTTTAATAAACGAATGACATCATTGTTCTCCAGAATCAGATTAAAACACAGATCTATATTTCATTTCGTTTTTTTTATACTTTCGATGGCCTACACTACATGAAGAGCTGACCGGTTGTTGGAATAGGTCACGTCAGAGATCATACGAGCAGCTTTTTACCCTATGATGTCAGACATTTGATTAACTAATCAGCTTTGATGTTACTAGTGGATTACCCACAGTTCCGTACAAAACATGTCTGTTTTAATCAGATTGTGTTCTCCTGAAAAATTGGTAGATAATTTCCATACTTTTTTCTTTCAAGAAAATATACATTTCTGTTTAATTTTTGATGTGTAAAAACAAAACAGAATCGAGTAATAATTGGTTGCCTTCACAGGACATTCTTTAAAAATTTAATCATTCTCAATATGAAAATTAGTGCAAAGATCAACAGAAATTTGGCTATAACTGTACAGCTTTTCATATAGTCAACAGGTACCATATATAGTTGACATCACCTTTTTTACTAAAATTGATCCAAGTTATAATACCACTAATTACTCTATCACCATATATATATGGCCTTTTATCTTTGCATGTCTGATAATATTTTAAAGGCATTTAGTAACTAGATAGAGCAATACACAAAAACACATACTTATAGAAAAAACAGCTACCTGTTGTCATGTATGGTTTTATGAATTGTTCTTGTATTTTTTTTTGTATATATTGACCTCATAATTTTTGTATTACTGTATTAGCTTGATAACATTGAGAGAATACTCTTCGAAACGTCGCCCAAATAAATAAGAAGCTGTTTTTTCCATAAATATGTGTTTTTGTGTATGCATGTCTGGGGTCCGATTTTGGGGTTTGTACATGACAAGGAGGAGGATCATCTGTCTAACCCAGATTGTTTTCTTAGTGTACACCTGCACACAAACTTTAGAAATATACATGTACCATTTGTTAGTCCCAAATTAATCTGCTTGCTATATAATGAGTGAACTTTAAATCCCATTCTTTACTTTTAGTGCTTGAATAATATTGACGATTCTGCGCGTTTGTTTCATGCCGCATTTGATTTAAACAAATGTTTTTTTTTAATAATTTCGAAAGACCGGCTATTGATTGACTGCCTACAGAAAGTTTGGGTATATATTGAATAGAAACTGTTAGAATTAAGTTAACCACATTAAACTGATAAAGTAACAGCTGGGAACTTATTGATTTGATAATTGACAAGCTTTGCACTGGAGACCAACAACATTTAATCACAACATATACATACTTATATCCATGTAGGTGTGTTTAATCGTATGTACAGGTGCACAAATATGGAAAGAGTCTAGATTGACAAATACCATTTACTCTTCTGTGAGAGTCAGTTTACAATAAACAGGAGATAATATCAAGACATTGGTACCAATAGAATTATACCTTTACATCCATAAAATGTGACAGGGACAGATCAAGGATTTTCAGGGGGGTAGTGTGGGTGGGGCAGAAAATGCAGATGAAGTGTTGCTGTGACAATTAGCAAGTGTCAAAGGTGACAGCACACAAAGACTCCCTAAATTAAGCCTAACAATCCCACAACCGGGACTGGGCCTGCAGGAGGTGATATACTGAAAAAACTGCCCTGTCAATAAGTTATTTAAAATCTTAGCTAGCAAGTTAAAATTTGAACAGTTTTGTACATCTGCACAAGGGGGTCATGGATCGTCGGTTGCTATTGGCACTAGACATCCAACTAGAATGTCCCAGGTTCGAATCCCAGGCAAAATTCTAACTCGAACATTACACATATAAATATTGAAATAAAAATTGTTGACTGAATTGTTGACTTGACGAGTCCTTAAATCCCATTTAATTCAATACATCTTCAAAAGTTATTTGAGTTAAAAAAGATACCCCCCCCCCCCCCAAAAAAAAAAAAAAATTAGTTAACTACATGAAATTTTCAAGTCAAATATAATATCAGGTATTCTAGCAAAAGTCATAATACCCTGCCTCTTGCACAACACTCATCCCTACTTAAAGCTAACTGTAGAGACAGTTTGGATTTCAGAACAAATGAAATGAAAATGGGTTGAACGCCTTACTAGGATTTCAGAAGCCAAAAGCTTCTGAGTAAATGATAAAGTCACCAGCTCATGCAGTGGTTTAAATAAAAAAATTCTTGAGCCTGGATATGTTTAACGAGTCCACTAAACATAACATCTTTTGACAAATATGAAAAGTTTCAATGACTAGAGTTCTGTTTGATTGCTGTTTATTGCATGTTCTTTAGATTGTAAGGTCTGTCATAAGTGTTATGGTTTTCTTAAGGGTTTTCTCTAGATTGCTGGTATCATCCGACTAAAAGACCCCCATACTCAAACGAATAAAGATATACCATATTATGTTTTAGTCCCATAATTGCCTTAATATAGTAGCGATGAAGAGTACCCATCTTGTAGGTCAAGTGAGATGTTGGCAGAGATCTGACATCTGCATTCAGAGCCTCTGGTGGTATGTTGTCTGGACCAGGTGTTATTGGATATTGATTTTAGAATATTGCTCTTTGACTGTCATCTTTAGTAATTGATACCAGGTCATCTTCCTCATGCTCACAAGTCGACTTTCTATATGTGTAGTTGTGATGCTGATTTTTCCATTGTTATCATGTACAGGTTTACCACAGGTAGTTTTTAGTAGCATCAGAGTAGGATTGTTCTTGAGATAAGTTATCACTGCAGTTTTCTTTATTGCCCTTGTCGCTACAACAGTTGTGCTGGTCATTTCTAGCACCTTTCTTGACAACCTTGTCTTTTATGCCAAACTCAAACTGTGTAAGGAACTATTGCTTGGTCTTGTATTCTGATGTCTCCAACTATATCCATGGAAAGTGTTTAAATGGACTGATATATTGAACAAGGTTTTCAACACAATAGACAACACCATGTCAATAATAGAACACCGTTTGGTGATGATTATAATAAATTGACTATATTAGTTTATGTATTTATGTATTCAATGATTTGTTTCTATTGTACGATGTGTTTAATTTAATTCTATGTGTTCTATTCATTGTAAATTTATTACAGTTTCAAATAGAAATGCATCAATTGATTATACTTCTATTGACATTACAATGTTATCATAAGGCAATAAGAGATGAGTTTGTTAGTACTGTATTATGAATATTTATAGATTTTAATGCTTATATATATTTATAGTCGATATAGTTTGACGATAGTACATGTACATACAGTACAAAGTATGTTGGACTTTTTGAAATAGCTTTCTTTGTCTCTAGGATGTAGTTGTGTGCTCTTGCAACAGGTGTATGGGTTATTTCAAACTCTTATTTGATGGAAATTTAATTTATATTTTATATTTAGATCCTGGATTGGACATTTATATGTAGTTTACGTTATATATTGTACAAGCTGTCTATATGCCTTGTTTAGTTATTATGGATCTATTTTGAGGAGCAATTCTTGTGTTCTAACACGTGTAAAAAATTTTGTGGATTGAGTAATCTTTTTTTTTCATTTTGGATTAATTCTCTGTGGAATTGTCTTTCGACTAAATATCTTGGAATGCTGAGAATTATTTTAGAAAATTCAACAGAATAGCCAATTGGATTAATTTATGTGATGGATAATCTATAAATGATCCATCTATTTTTTCATTCAGCGAATTTGTGTCTATTTGTGTAAGGGTATAGACATTATAAAACCTGTGTTGGATGCTACACTGGTACTGAAGGATGAAACTGGTTGGATGTGTAGACACTTGCTGCATGTAGTATTTAGTAATATGTTTATTAAATGTGTAGCTATTTCATTTGTTACATATTCATTTGTCGGGTTAAGTATATGGCTTTGTTTGATAATTCTCTATGAAGAAGAAAAAATAGCATCAAGAGATCAGAGAGAAAGGATATCATCAACTCTCCAAGGAAAAACTTCAGTTAAAGACTTGGATTTTTTGTGTATATAATTTAAACATGTTTACTGTCATTTAGGATTCAGAATGGCCGTAAAAAATAGCACTGTACCATGAACCAAAACATATATTCAGCATGAAGTCTCAAAATAAATTGAATGACAAATTAGGAGATGGACATTTCCACTGAAATGTGTTAAATTTATTGACATTCCAATAGCAAATTAGTGTCACCAAAAGAGAGATTTGTTGATTTGTGTAAGATTATGTTATGATATTCAGAGTAAATCAAAATGATGAGTCTACCAAATTTTAGTAAAAAACAACCTGCTTCTCCTCCTGCATTATCTCCAGGAGAAAAACCAGAACTTAAAAAACAGGAGTCGAAAAAGGATGAAACCGAAAATGGACAAGTTGAGTCTGACGATGGTCTCATGGCTGCTTATGCTAGGCTTAATATTAGAAATAGAGATATGTTCAATGCTAATAAAGCTACAGATTTTCAGGTTAGTTATTCAATGATGACTTGAATCATATTCAAAGGTGTGTCCCTTCATCTACAGAGCTGCTGTATTTCTTTTCATTTATGCATCTCTATTCCCTTTTACCATTATGCATAAGAATGGCCACTTGAGTTAATTTCAGTTGAATCCCAGAGCCTCAAGATCTAGGTGGTGTCTTGCATAGGTGTATAATATTTTTGACACTGTTATAAGTCTTTCTTACATGCACTGTAGTCTTAAACATTCATCATCATTCTCTTATTTGGTTAATTGGATTTTTAAAAAAAAAAAACAACTTTAATCTTCCTCTACTCTTGAGAGTGGGAGATTGGGAGGGGCCTCATAAGTGGAATAATTAGGTCTTCTTTTCGTCTAAATCTGACAGAGCATGTTATGTTGTTTGTCTTGGGATATTCTGAGCAAAAATGGATGTTGCACATCTACCCAAATTTAAGGTAGAGTCATAATTGTGTAAACAATACCCTACCTGATGCATATAACCGGCGACTTCTTAAAAAACTGATATTAATCTGCTGTCACATGTAAATGCAGGTAGGCCTATATCTTTTTGTCTCCCGCCTTTCGAAGAAAGTGGGGAACTATTAAAATAGGTTCGTCTGTCCGCCACATTTTTTGGGACACAATAACTTTCCTTCTTATTGAGCTAGAATGTTCCAACTTGGTGTAGGTGTTTATTAGGTGAATGCCTTGATGGAGTTTGAAGATGAGAAGCAATTGATTGGTTGATGCTTTGGGACATGATAACATTAGTTCTAATTAAGTGAGAGTGAGGACACTTGGTGTATAATTTTATCACATCAATACCTTGACTTAAGTTCGATAGTGAGCATTTTCTGCTCAGAGTAAGCAGAGCGATAAACAATTTGATTGGTCGATACTTTGGAACACAATAACTCTCCTTTTAATTTAGGTAGAATGTTCAAACTTGGTGTAGGCGTTTATTAGATGAATACCTTGATGGAGTTCGATGATAAACATTGTCTGTTTATGGTAAGCAGAGATAAGCAATCTGATTGGTTAATGCTTTGGGGCACAATAACTTTAGTCATAATTGAGTGAGAGTGATGAAACTCCGAGTATAAATTCATTATATCATTACCCTGACTAAGTTCGATGATGCGAATTTTCTGCTTAGGCTAAGGAGCGATAAGCAATTTGATTGGTCAAGAGTTTGGAACATAACAACTCTGGTTTTGATTAAGGTAGAATGTTTAAACTTGATGTAGATGTTCATTAGGTGAATGTCTTGACTAAGTTCAATGATTAACATTTCAAACTAAAGCTAAGCAGAGTTAAGAAATTTCATTGGTTGATGCTTTGGGACAAGATAACTTTGATTCTGTCTGATAGAGAGTGATGAAACTTAGTGTATAGTTGATAATCAGTTTGATTGCTTGATACTTTTAAAAGGTGGTCAAACAGTCATTATATATACTGGACACTCGATTAAGATATCAAGGAGTTTTCTAGCACTGTTCCCCCTTCTTAGTGGTAGTGACTTTGGTATGACAAGGAAAGTGTTGCTTGTGAAACAAAATTGGGGCGATTTTCTGGCTTTTATCTCCCTTTCCTTAGGCCATATTGAAATAATAGACAGACACCAGTAAAATTTCTAAAATGAAAAAGATACTTCAGAGATTTAGAGATGTAACAGCTTAATGCAAGGTGTCCTTTTGGATTTTAAGGGGTGGGGGGAGGAACAATTTTTTTTGATATGTATTTGTTATTTATGATCAAAATTGGAAGATACAAAGTGAACGGAATGTTTTATTAATAGCCCATTTACATCATGACGTATTGGTTGACATTGTGTTTTTTGTCTATGGAAATTTATCGTAGAGATATATATCTCATTATGTTTAAATTCTCCACATAAAAACAAATTGAATTTTCCTACGACAAAATCAATAGAATTCGTCATATTAAGGATTGTAATGTGTATGACAGTACAATAAGTTTGGCAACAGGTGTTACTTGTATTTAGTTTAGATTATCCAGGTTGCTTTGGTTATGTTTACAAAACTGTAAAAACCTTCTGGAACCAATCATTGCATACTGGGTAAAATTATCCAGTGATATGAAATTAAGGATTCATTGTTGTAAAATTTGAATTATGAGAAAAAATATATTAACCCAATTTGTTTTACAATGATGAAATACGATATTTATCCAATTTGTTATACAATGTTTTATGCTTTCCTGATATATCTTAAAATGATTTTCCATGATACATCTTGACAGGATTATTCCCGATACATCTTGATGGATTTTCTCTGATACATCTTGATGGATTATCCCCGATACATCTTGAAAGGATTATCCCCGATACATCTTGACAGGATTATAATCCCTGATACATCTTGAAAGGATTATCCCTGATACATCTTGACAGGATTATCTCTGATACAGCTTTACAAGATCGTCATTCATAAAGTACACATATTTTGTAAACAAAATACATGTACATTGAAGGCATGATGAATCATTTGAATTTTCGCTAAAATATCAAATTTCTCATTTAATTAAGAATTCAAATTCATAATACCAATGTTAGATAATCTCCCAGCTTGGATTCTATCAGATTTAAACTAGGCCGATCAGGTTTCTCCACTACTAATAAAAGATGGCTACATCTTCTTGCATAGCGAACAGCATAGATCGATGAAATTTCAAATTATCATAACTTTGTAAATACTAGATTGATAGATATTTCTAATAGAGATTTTAAAGATGAACAAATCTCAACTTTGTTTCAAACTGACATATTTGGGAGATCTAATTATCTACAACTTGATCGACACAGAAATGTACTCCAATTGGTTGTTGAACATTTAATTAAGATAAATTCAAAATATCAGTGGTAGCTAATATCCTCGCTTGAATTCAATCGAATTAAAAATGGCTTCTTCAAACGATTATTACAAAGATTACAGGTCGTGTTGACTTTTGACCCTCTAGCAAGGTTCTTATATGTCTACTGTTATCTTTGGACCACTCCCACTTGAGCTGTGATTGGCAACCTAGAATAACCAACAAGACACCAAAATATCTGCAATTTATGTTGTTTGTATGAATGCAAACTACTGGTATCATCGTTAGCATCCAACTCTTGTCAAATTTCAATTTGTTATTGTCAGTGTGTATACAGCGAGCTACAAACTCTGTAACTATTTTTTTTTTCAGGTTCGAATCAAGATTCTGGAGGCTCGGCAGCTACAAGGGGCCAATATACAACCTGTCACACGTGTCACATGTTTTAATCAAATGAAACAGACTAGAGTTAAAAAATCAACTAACAGTCCATTCTGGAACGAATCTTTCTTTTTTAATTTTCATTCTTCTCCGGCAGAACTTTTTGATGAACTTATAGAATTTAAGGTAATTTGTCATTATTATTCTCTATTTGATTGGTCTGTGTTTGTAGAGCACAGGTTTCTATTGGTACAGCTGTATAGAGTTTAGAATAGATTTATAATATGAAACCGTGCTGAGTCGAATCACGGGGTGAGACAAGAAAGTACCTCCAGATTTTCCAGTATTGTTTCCCCATGCTGGTTCAGGACAGAGAGCCAAACAAAGAACAGTGTCTAGTCATGGATGGGATGAAAACAGAGAAATTCTAGAAAAAGTTTCTTTATTGAACACTGTATGGCATATGCTTTGTCTTCATTAGCCCGGTTGGTGCAGAAAAGTAGGATGTTAAACCCCCATTTAATTTTATATGAAACACTCCATGGAATAATGTTGTTTTAAGTGTTTTATGTCCCGTTTTAAACAAACATTATGCAAGAGCAAAATCTGATTATTGCAAGTCTTAATTTAGGCTTCAGATGTTATAGAAATTATAAATTAGATCTTTATTTAAACAACAAGCCCAAAATCAACTCTGTAGACCCACGGATGGCTCGGCTACAGCTCGGATTTAAATAGGATTTCACTTATCAATTAATTCAAATATGGCGCATCCTGATGAGAATACGTCAGTTAGATCGAGGCTAAATGATAGAGTGTACTTAGCGAGGCCGCTGTAGAGCGTTTCCGCATGCCATTGAAAACTTTACTTGATAATCGAGATATGTAGGTGGAGTTAACGCCTGTCAATCAAACGATCAGCCACGGTGAAGGCACATTTCACTACAATTTCTAGTCAGAATAAAGTAATTTGACTGAAATTTTCAAAATATTCTTCTTTCATCATCTACTTTTGAACTGTTATAGCAAGAATGGCCAATTCTCTGTAAAAATCTCCCATAATATATCTTTAAATAAACGATGTTCCACATGGTATCAGGGAAATCCCTGAAATTCACTCGCTGGGCACAGTAAAACAGGGATCCCACTCAAAAGCATGCTTTGGCAGTTGAACAGTAACAGAACTGGACCCACAAAAGCAATGTCCCAAAGTGGCATGCACTGATAAGAAGCCTTTGATAGCAATGCCCCAAATTGTGGCATTCGCTAGATATTTTGTATAGTAAGAACCCTTTCATTTTTCAAGCCCATTTATTAGGGTTAGTAAGACTAACAAGGAAATTGTTGCATATAATTCTTTACATGCTATAGAAAACCCAGATCCTCTATAGTCCTTGACAGTTGGATTTTGATGAAGATTAGCTTAAAACGCTGTCCAGGAAGAACCCTGTTCCCTGGCAATGCTTGTCGTAGCCATATAAGGAAACTTCAATCCTTTGCCATTAGACATCATCCTGCATTATTAACTGTAGTGAAAGGCCAGTTGTCGGATAATTATAGTATTATAATGGTACATGAGAAAACCTATGAACAGGACACAATATACATATGTTCCTAGACATCACCAACAACAAACGTATATACAAGATCAAATGAATGGATCCGGGGGCTAGTTGTTACTAATTTCTAACAGTCTTATTTTGAATGGTATTTCCAGGTATTTAATTCAAAGAAACTTCGGTCAGATGCTTTAATTGGTGCTTTTAAGGTAAGTTTTTAATGACTATCAATCGAAACATAAAAAAAGTCAAAGCTATGCATCAATATATATATGCTTGAACTGAATATGTGTCTAATTAAACTGTTTACATGTTTTGTGCCAGATCTCATATAACGGGCATGTGACATGTGTTTCATTTAGCCGGTGTTGAGCACATATTACAAAACTTTATTCAGCATGGTTGATTGACACATGAAATGGAATTAAAACTATTTAATATCAAAATATAATTTCAAAAGTTGTAATATGTCTTTAAAAATGAAATTAATAATTATTAGATATTTAAATCCCCCCACAACAGCAGCACAAAAACAGACTTTAGGTTAAATAAGAGCTGGTGTATTCATCTTCATAAGATTTGGGGTTATAATACCCTTTTATTGTTGTGCTGTTATTTTTAAATGTCTATTACTGTCTGCTCTATCCGCCGGCATCATCGTTTGATCCAGTAGCTACACAGAATTACCAGCCTGTCCATCCACTGTTACTCTTTTAAGGAAGTGTTGCCGTCTCCCCCCCCCCAATTCCTAAAAATGAAATTACTTATTGCGAAATATACAAGTCATCAGAACCTTGTGCACATACATCTTGGATTTTATATATTGACCCTGGTTCTTGTCTGTTTGCTAAACACCACCACATAAATTAAGAATAGGGATTGCTAATCTCCTAAATGTTACAAATACAGTAATATGCATTTGTTAATATAATTTGTATAATACTTGTATGTTTTTATATTTCAGTGTGATGTGGGTTTAGTGTACGATGAAAATCAACATGCATTGATCAATAAATGGCTGTTACTTAGTGATCCAGAAGATACAATGTCTGGTGCTAAAGGTTATTTAAAGATCTGTGCTGTAGTACTTGGACCTGGGGATGAAGCACCCGTAAGTTGACATTTCTGATTTTCAGGATCTTATATGCCACCCCTTTTCAGATCCAAATGTACGGCATTGAGGCGAGTGGCAATGTTTTAGATTCCAGTCTTGTATATGACATGGAGTGAACCTTAAATCCCATATAAATTTCCTGATCAGTGTTTTGTTTGAAGAAATCTTTTATATCATATAAAAGAAAAGTAAAAGTAGATATTTGTATGTTTATTAACATGGTATCATATTTATTACAGAGTATGAAAACATCATCACAAGATGATTCGGGTGACATAGAGAGGTAAGATAAATTATGTTTATATCTCTCATACTTTATTAATTATTATGGTTTTACCAAAAGCAAATAAAAGTTTCAGACCAAAATTTGCTTTTACTCTGATGACAGTTGTGTAATATACAAAATGAATTTCTGAGTTTTTGAAACTGCAAAAAAATGATATATTTTAAACAAATTCCTCTATGATACAGAAAAAATTTAATCTGTAAGCTGCCATAGTGCTGCTGTCAGAGCAAACTGTTCCGCATAGCTCGCACTTTTGGTATGCCCGTCTTCATTAGCCCAGTTGGTGCAGATCAGTAGGACATTAAACCACATTTAATGTTATTTCAAAATGATCTTGTTAATAATATTCTTCTGTGCAAATCATGATATGATATTTATTAGTAGAATACATTTATTTTAAAGCATGTGATTGTCTTTTGGATTGTTCGGGAAATATGAAAATTTTACGGTTTAAATTGATTATCTACCATTTAATTAAGAATTGCTTTGAATTCAATTGGATTAAAAAGAGAATCATCAAACGATTTTTACCTAACTCTTATAGGTAACAGTTGCTTGTTTATATCATCTCCATATCTCCAAGGTATTTTGAACATTGTAAAACTAAATCATGCTTGAATTGATATTCTTTTTCAATTTTCACAATATTCAAAATCCCTCATATGACAATGAGCAGCTTGAATAGTTTATTAAATGATCTGTTAACTTTCTTTCAGCAATTTACTTAGACCTGCTGGTGTACAGTTACGACCAGCATCTTTTATTTTGAAATTATACAGAGCAGAAGATATTCCTAGAAGTATGTATCATATTTTATTATTTTCTATCTGAATGTGTTGAGAATCTCATTACTTGTTAACTGCTGTTGACTAACACTGTATCATGTAATATAGGACTTACACAAGATGCAGTTAAATGGCCGCATGGATGCAGGACTTGTGTGAATACTGCAGTGATATTTCATCTGAAAGTATGATAGTAAATTCCCCATATCACCAAAGTTTGTAAACAGTGCTCATTTAAGACTTAGAGTGATTAGTTGTCATGGCAACATTGTCTGAAATATACATTTCAACATGTGTAAACCTAAATAATGTAAACTTTACTTTACAAGAATCATATTTTTTACTCACCAGACTTCTAAATTTAAACTAATAAAGAAAACTGAAATATCAAAATAATTTAAGTATCTAGGTGGTAATTAATGTCGGTACATTCTGTTCTATGAATCACCTTGTATATTTGAACTGATTTTTTTTGTATTTTTTAGTGGATTCTGCATTTATGGAGGGAGTAAAGAAAATTTTTAGAATAGGAGAAGAACAAAAAGAGTTGGTGGACCCATATTTTGTATTTTCTTTTGCTGGCAAAGAGGTATTCATTGTGAAATACTAGAATTGAGATTAAAATCCTGATAAATTTAATCTGCTATCATCATACTTGTCAGTTTACATCATTATCCTATTATAACTGGAGAGAGATCTAGGCTATGGTTATTCCTCAATTTTCTTCAATCTTTATTGGGACGGGTGGTCGACAGGGAGTGGTAGACCCGAATGTATTGTTTCTCAGCATTGACCATTAAGAACCGTCAGTTTTTCAAACCTGGTACTCATATGTCAGGGGGGACACCTGTAGGGTCGACAAGGAAAGTGTGTGGCTGGTCGTTTTATTGTAACAAAAAGCTGAGGTCCTGCTCTGTATACACTGGCTGAGACGTGTAGGTGGAAATGCTGCTGTGCTGGAAAAATTCTCCCTCTGATGTTGAAAGTAACCATTGATATGAAAAACACCATGTTAGTCTTGAACTCATGCATGAAACAATAAAGGTCACCGGAAAAGCAGTCTACATTAACATTCGAGATCGTGTTATACTTATGGAAAGGATATGTTGACATAATTACTTCCATTATTTAAAAAAAGTATGAAGCTTTTCCGGTGATCTTTAAATCTTACTCCTTTCTTTTCAATATTTTAATACAAAATAAATAAAATGTATTATTTGATTATTACAGTTAAAATCTAAAATTATGTATTGCTGTGATCATCCAGAATGGAATCAGGAAATGCGTCTTGGACTGCAGGTAGGTGTATATATTTATTATAACCCCTTTAATATCTATATACTTTATAGGGATATGACTAGAGCCAAATATAAAAGTAGTCGGACCAATATTGCCATTTTGTAAGTTTAATAGATCAGCAGTACAACAAGACAAATATAAAATAATAATGATAGTTGTGCATAAGATCTAGAGTTCAGAGAGGGAAACTATGTAAGAAACTTAAGATTAGGCAATAAAAGTCATTTTGTTATCCTATCACAGTTGAGATAATAGTTGGCCAGACTCCATCTGTATATGGCTTTGGATATGACCGTGTTGATTTGAGGGAAATAAAAGTGTCAACTTTGATAAATTGAAAATTTTGATATAAGTTGAAATTTGAATGAGTGACAAATAATGTAGTTAAAATAAATCATATTTACAATTTTCAATTCTATATTTACTTCAAGGGTTAGATGGTGGTTTAACACCATTTCTTCCTTTTATCTTTCTCCATTTCTAATCATTTTAAATTATTTGTAGTTTCCTTCAATGTGTGAACGGATTAAATTTATGATCAAAGATTGGTAAGTAAACCATTTATACTGTAAGATAAGAGTTGTTTTTATGGAAAACTATAATGCACTGTTTATAAGTTGTATAATATACCTGCCATGGGCTCTGTATAATTATGTGTATAAGGCAACTTTCAACTTAAGGTGACTTGATTGTGCGTGAGAAGCAGAACGATAACTTACCTGGGCACTTGTGCATTTTGTCAGGGTTCTCCAGCATTGCAAAAGAAACATGCTAATGAATTGAGAAAATAAAGACATAACATGTTAGTTAAGGAATGTAGTTTAGCTTCCAATTAGTTCAAAAATTTCGGTAATTACGGACGAACATAATGGTAACAAGTGCAGTACAAGTAGAGACAATTTTCACCTACTTTTACATGGATATTTGATCGACTAGCATATGCTAGTCCAGTAAAGAACTTGTTGGGTTCGGTGAATTATAGCTCGGTTAAGTGTAGTTGTATTCAGTTTTGTTAATGCTACATGTTTTGTATGTAATATGTACATTCATGCTTAATTAAAACAGCACACAATGATGTATACTTGTATATAAAAATATTATAGAATGTTTGCAGTAGCACTGGTGGAAGGTTTTCATATACATTTTTATTTTATATCATTTTGTTTTTAATATTTCATGATTCAATGACTTTTAAAACGAGTACAATATGAACGAATCTTGAAATTCATGTATTTCACCCAAAACTTGATAAATTATCTATAATTCAGTTATGAACAATGGTGTTGTTTATTGTAATTCCTTATTTAATCCATGTCAGAATTATTTTTGGAAAGTCAAATTTAGGAATTTCACCCATGCCAGAAAACAATTACATAAATTCGTATTTTTGATTTTGAAATGAAAGAAATGAAATGTAATAATTTATCAAGTTTTATAATCAATATTTATACACAATTTGATTGGTTAACAGGGATCGGGTAAACGATGATGACACTACAGGCTCCGCCTTTCTAAACCTGCCGAATATTTCTGCCTTTGGGCCACAGGGTTTGTTCTTTGTATTTGTATTGTCTTGTTTAGATTAGATATATTACCTTTACTGGAATAAAATTAAATTAAAAAGTCACTGAGTGCATTTTTAAAAGACACAGAAACTTGCTTAGTGTCGATTACCATGTCAACATTTTATTATGACATAATCATTTGGTGAAACATAATAATGAAAATAATTAAAAAACATTGCCAATGCAGGTGATATATCTGTTCTAATACAATTGCTGTGTGTGTCATATTTCATTTGAATATCATTGTTCCCCTGCCCCATGTAAAATGTAAAAGTTTATCAATGTTTTTTTTTATTCTCATCATTTCATTCATTTTCATTCATTCATTCATTCATTCAACCTTCTTTTAACATCTATTTTACACTGCCTTTGTATCAATATGTATATTATTATACTTTTATCTATATATGTAAACACTCCATACTCAGGATCCCCACAAACTTCTCTGTCCAGCAATACATATATATTAATATACTGATCAATGAAATATATTTTTTAACTCTTGTTTCTGGGAATGAAACACATCAATGGAAGTGAAGTCGACTACAAACACTGTCTTTGCATTTTGCATGCACACAATGTGAAAAATTGTTAGCAATTCCTCATGTTTAGTTCAAATTTATAATACATTTTTGATCGGTTATATTCTATATTTTTTCTTCTTCATAGTCTAATCATCATATCAGCTCATAAGTTCGTTTGTTTTTCAGTCGTAGTCTTTGTGCAGCATTTTTAATCATTTGGTATGGGAACTAACCGATGCATTAATTTATTTCAGCTAATGTTAGAGGAATGCAGCTTTTGTAGTAGATGTTTAAATTAATGTGTAATTAGATACTGGAATTGAATGGCTATTTTAGATAGTGGCAAAATGTCATATTTACTTGTCCATATCATTTTGTCTTTTAAACACCATGTGTACAAGTACTAAACACATTTAGTACCTTTATTTTGGCTTTATTGAGAAAATGGATTTTTTCTTTCATATTTCTTATCACTATTTTTTAAAACAAAAATATGGACAGTTATGAAAGTGTATGTTCATGTTATCCTTGATACATGTATTAGAATAATTGTAAGTTTCAAAGTTAAAAAAAGATGGATAAAAGGCCATTGAATGCAATTATATATATAAGAAAAATTGATCCATTTTATTTCCTTCTTTGAAATTCTCCCATTTTGGATGCAATATAGCAAAAATTGATTTAAATTACTTAAATACTAAACTTTTCAAATAGTCTTAGATTTGCATTCCTGTTCAAACAATTTATCGTTTTGATTTTGAAATTTCTAGACATTTATTTTGTAAATCAAGTTTTATCTGCATCTTATCTTATAACAGAGACATAGACATTTAGTGAAATGTTTCATATGTTGTCTTAACACATTTGGAATTTCAATTGAAAATCGTGTCCATATATAAGATTCAGATATACATATTGTGGTTATATATTTGCATGGTTAACTAATAGTTTTAGCAAGGGGATGCATGCAGTTATAGTGTCAAGTTATTAACTTACCAGTAGTTATATTGTATTCTTTATTTAAATATAATAATATAGTCTTCTGTTGAGGAATATCCACCCAAGATTAAAAGAAACTGGCATATTTCCTTGTACTTTGCAAAAATTATGGTGCATTACATATACCAAAAGGCCTTTTGTCTATAACTCTAGAAACAATTACTTATTACATTCAATCTTATCTCATACTAAGAAGAAATACATTCTATTTTCGATTTGTCTTGTAAACTATGTTCAGTTTATTTAATTGAAAATACTTTGGTGTTTTCAATAAAGATACACACAGTGTACTTTGGTGTTGAGAGTTTAATTTATTACGGTATTTTAAGGACTTATATTTTTATGAGTTTTTGTATGACTTTCTTTTATTTGCAATTGATTTTTGGATCTGTGGGATGACATGAAGACTAAATATTTGTAGATGCTTTAAATTGATAGTCTAACTGTTTATATGATCTTATTCCCCATACAGGGATCGATTGTCTGAAGATGATACAGTCGGAACATTTTTACTGCCGATATCTTTAATCTCTTCTTCTGGAGATACGGGTGAATGTCTTTAATCAATTCTAACCAATTAAATATTTCGTATTTAAATGTAAACAGTTTGCTAAAATGTATGAAATAGATTTAAGTACCAATACATATTGTTAAAATATGTAGAACAAAGTCATATTCATCATGAGCACAAGCTGATGTTTGCAAGCTCAATTAATGCAATCTAATTTTATAAGGAAAGATTTTCTTGAGTTAAAAAAAAATTTGAATTTCCTGTTACAGAATTTTGTAATAAGTTTTAAAACTTTATTTTTAGACCAAGATGAGGGTAAATTTTTGAAAAAAAAAATTATTTCAAATTCATGGTGGCCAGGTTAACTACATATGGCATGAGTGTTAAATTTGGAAACATTTTATTTTTCAATTTCGTAGTCAAGATTATACTTTATATTTTCATTTTGTTGTCGGTGGGGCATTTCAGCTCTTGGAGAAATCAGTAGGTTAACTATAAGATTGCAATAAATGCAGTGCTTCTTCTAAAACTATAACCAATCTTTGCGTGATTTGGCAATATAACATTTCGCGTGGTGTGCATTCATGTTATTCTTTTGTGAAATAATCATTTAGTGTTAAGATAAGAATTAACATGATGAAAACTCTTTTTTTGTACAGATGCAGATTCAGTGTTTAGAGGTGTTTAGGTTTACTGTTCTTATAAAGAATTAATTTTTTTTCAAATTGTGAACTTTTTGAATAACAAATGAGATAATATTAGCACATAATAAGTTTATCAAATTTTTATAATAATTATAAATATTAATTGTAATGATTGTAAGCATAGTTATTTTTCTTAGCAACGCTTTCAGCTACATTGTACATCTCATAGCTATGCTAGCAATATACACTAGAAAGACACCTATACTGAATTCCAGAATATTTATTTTCTTCTTGAATGTTGTGTTTCTGTTAACAGACATTGTGTCACTACATGCTTCATTTATATTGAATGATATTTTGAAAATGGCGCCAATCTTTTCATTCATGATAGCGAATATATATGCGCATTTGTTTTTAGAAAATTTTGTTAAATTAATATACAATACTAACCAAAAAAATACTAATAAATTCACATTAACTTATGAACTGATTATCTCCGTCTTTCATTTAGGATTACTTTTCATTGGAAGTATGAATGAGCGGGTATATGCTCTTATTAGGAACTGAATTTATCGTTCTTCTTAAATCTGTTAATCCTTTATTGGAGTATATTCATTAAATTGTTTGAAATACTTGAAATTCTAAATTATGCATTAATTGAAAATAAATATATTCTTGAACTACTCCAAATTTCAAATTTATCATTATTGGAATTCTGATATACCGGTACCAATTAGGGAAAAAAATGTTGACAGTACCTTCATATATAAGGAAAACAAACGTTTTGAAAGAGTTACTACCCTATTCATTTTATATTCCTTTTGAATAGACTTTCGAAACCATCTTCATTTGTGTGTTTTTCATTCTCCTTTTCACTCTTCTATTTATTCATTTCTCTTTAATAGTTGTGTGTAGTATGATTTGTTTCATTCTTTATTGTACATACTTAACGTAGATGTAGATTACCTTCTTTTTGGATTTCTCCGATATGAAATACTTTTGAAATTTAATTCAGTCTTTATTTTTAAATTTTTTTAATCATGAGTAAAAATTATCAAATGTAAAGTTTTAAAATTAAAAACATAACATTTTTTAATGTCTCATATATGTTATCTTTATATTATTGTATTTACATCATTGGTATACAAATTTTTAGGTTTTTTACCAACATTTGGGCCATGTTATGTTAATTTCTATGGTTCTACCAGAGAGTATTCAGACTTACCTGATGAGTATGAAGACCTTAACCTTGGAAAGGTAATTGTACCATCCCTTTCACCTGATCTAGACCTATTGTCTTAGATTTGAATCAGATTCTGGGATATATAGCATATTTAACCCTTCAGGACTTCGACTAGCTGTGGTGCTATAGACTGACTTGGGTGGTTTGAAACCATCAAGGCCTTGTAGTTTTGAATTATTTCAGGCAGTCCAAAGCCCATATATCGTAAGAACTATACCACTTTTCTCTAATTTGTGTCAGGAAAACAATCTTTAAATGCAAAGGGTTCAACAAAATAATATTTTTCAAAAATAGGATGACTTATGTCTAAACAAAAGTAATCAAATTGAATAAAAATAAAAAATAATAATTTATATTTATTTATTGCCCAGGGAGAAGGGGTTTCATATCGTGGCAGAGCATTAGTTGAGTTAAAAACAGAACTTGGAGAGTTACCTGAAACAGCTATAGAAGATATTCATTCTGATGACTTACTCAGAGTACAGGTAGATATCATCCTTGATTATACGCATTGTTAATGATGCCTTGTTCCTCTACCACCAATGATAATCATTTGACAGATTATAATATTATGCACAGTATTTATTGTTTGATTTCTTGTTTTGCTTACTGTTAATCATCTGTGATTAGATTTAGATGGATTATATATTCTGTGATTGTATCTAAATTGTATGAGATATATATATTCTGTGCTTAAATGACATCTGAAGGGTATGGGATGTTCTGTGATATGTTCAGATGGGATATTCTGTGATTGTGTTTAGATGGGATGGGATATTCTGTGATTATGTTCAGATGGGATATTCTGTGATTATGGTTAGATGGAATGGGATATTCTGTGATTATGTTTAGGATGGGATATTCTGTGATTGTGTCTAGATGGGATCTTCTGTAGTTTCATTTTACCTTCCAGAAATTTATGAGAAGACGGAAATACAGACTGCATGCAGCATTTTTAAATGCTACTATGGTGAATGCTATTGATGCTCCCATAGAATTTGAAGTCAGTATTGGTGAGTGGCATGTTATAAAATTTGTTATTCATAATGAGATGTACTATTAAATTCTCAAATATACCTCTCCAAATTCAAAGTATTTATATCAGCCAAAGTTATAGAAGTAATTAAAAAATGTTATGTAATCCTGTTAAGCAAATCTAGCCAATTACGAACACTGGAATATTTTTATTAAATATTTATATACTACCTGGTTATATTGTCACATGACTTAAATCCATTACTGTTAACTATATCCTATAAAATCTTGGCTTTTAATTTTGATAAGGGAAGTGTTATACAGATAACAGTATTGATACTTTTAAGTTATGGAACTTTGATATTTGTAAATTTTAGGCAATTATGGTAATAAGTTAGATGAGAATGTTGCACCTTGTGCTTCTACCACTCAGCCTACTAATGCTGTATTTGATGGTGCCTGTTACTATTTCTTACCATGGGGTGGAACCAAACCTTGTGTTGTTGTAGATAGTTCCTGGGAAGACATCAGTTTCCGATTGGAAGCTCTTAATTTACTTTTAAAAATAATTGATTCATTGGTGAGTACTAGATCGAGGTTTCTTCATCTTTAGATGGAACTTTAATTACTGTTAAAATATAAATCATTGTTTCAATGGCATTTGAACTGGAATTTACAGGTCACAATTCTTTGGAATACAATTACTGCTTATTACTGTGTGACTGGCCTCTCATTGCTTAGTAATGACTAGAGAAGCCTCGGCAATAAGCTGTAATTGTATTCCACAGAATTGTGACCTGATATTAAAATATAGTTCCATTGATAAAAAAATCTCAATTTTATTTTGTCATAATCTTATCAATGTGTTTATATATGATGTTATACAGTATAAAGACTTTGCTTTTTATTCACCTGAAGATTCCCAATACAATCTATATAATAATAATAATTCATTTATTTTAAGTACACTTACATTGATTTAAAGAAGAATAAATAAATCTACAAGTAGTGTGTACAGTGAACAGTAATCATAAAATAACTATTCTATACACAGAAAGTTTAGAATTTCATTAAGTTTATTCACACCTTGGTTTTTGTGATATTGGCTATCTCGCATTAATATAAAATCTCTGATATTACCAGCTTTTATCTTTTCATCATCACTACTCAAATTAGTATCTTGTTTATTAACAATATTTAATAATTCTGATATGTTTGTTTTGGTGAAAAGATTTATATGTCTGTACTTTTCCTCAGTCTGTCTTTACTTTAATTGTAATGTAATCTTCAGGATGCTAACATGGATAGAGTAAAGATAGGAATTAAAGCTAAATTACCTGTACCAGAAGTAGCCCAATTATTGATATCACTACTAGATCAACTTGTTCTAGACTGCAGGTAAAATATTTACATTTCTATATAGGCATTTCTGGGAGAGTGTTATTAAACTATCAAAACAGACTTCTTTTTCTTCAGGGGTTATAAGAGACCCGCCAAGGAGAATATTGCTTATCGATTCTTCTAAAAAAAAATAACCAACTCCATTCCTTTCAATAATCCATGTTTGATTGCAGGAAAGAATTTCCAGACCCTGTTAAAGGCCACCATCAAAGCAACGAACTAGATAAACTAACAAGTCAATATCGTAGATCAGAACTGGACATGATCGGAGAACAAGCTGCAAAACTACGAGAAAATGCTACAGATATCAACGAAGCCATGTCTGAGATAGAAAACTATCTGGCCTTGTTGCAAAATTTGGCTGTTGAGGTGAGTTGGTTGGAGTTAATTTTTCATTTGGGGAAATGAAGATGTTTTAAAAATGAGCTTTCTTGGATATGATACATGAAGATCAGTACGACTTAAATCTCCAAAAGTTGTTATAATAATCTGCACTGGCTCACAAACTAGGAGGTCTCAGGTTTGTTCAGTGATGGCAGAGAAAAATTCCTCAGGATTTTTCCACCCAGGTTTTCCATTTCCCCAGTTATACAGTACAATGTGCCTGAAACGGAAAGTGTATATTATTGGAAGAACAGTAAAGATTCTAATTGCAGCGGGAAATAAAAATATGAATAGGCCATAGCTCATGATCAGCTTCCCAGTCAAATCAGAGAAAATAGAGACAAAGGTAGGGAACAACTCTGTTGATGATGAGTTAATAAAATGATTTATTTTTTTTCAGCCTCAGAACAGTATGCCTGATGTATCTATATGGATGATAAGTGGTGAAAAACGAATTGCATATTTCCGTATTCCAGCTAATGAAGTTTTATTCTCAAATAACAGTAACACAATAGGTCGACAATGTGGCAAATTACAAACTATTCAACTTAAGGTAATAATTTAAAAAAAAAAAAATTATATTCTGAATAAATGTTGAAATTATTTTGAAATTACTAAATGCTGTTTAAACATGTTGTTTGCAGTTTCCTGGTTTGAAGTTAGAGAAAGAGAAGAAATGGGAAATTCCATCCTTGCTTCAAGTTCGTATCTGGTTAGGATTACAGAATCAGGAAGAAGAATGGCATAAGATGCAGAAAGAAGGAGAATTAGCTGTTTTTGCTGAAACGGTAAATACATTTTCCTTTAACCTAATTATATTTCCTGCCTCAAAGACAGGCAAATTAAAATTGGCTTTGTTTGTTCTTCGGTCTGTCGTTCTGTCACAGAGTATATATATTTCTATCGAAAGAACACTTCCCAACTGTTATTTTTGTTCCAGTTTGAGAAGTAAAATGTTTACTATCAAAACTGTTTTCAAAAGGGAAACTCATAAATGGCCAAGATACATCAATACAACCAAAATGTATTTACTATACATGTTGGGGATCACGTGGCTAAGTGGGTAAGACGCTGGCTCGCTAGCCTGGAGGTCGGGTGTTCGATCCCTGTATTGGCCGAGAAAGTTCATCCAGATGTTCCGGCGTGGTTCTCCCTTGTCAGTGATGCAGGACGGGAGGGGCTGACAAGGAAAGCTATCTAGTCGTTCGGATGGGACGAAAAACCGAGGTCCTGTGTACACATTGGCGTGCACGTAAAAGATCCCTTGGCAGTTGGAATTCGATTTAAGAGTAGGCCGTAGTGCTGCTGTCCGGGCAAAATTTCCCTCATAGCACACTGTATGGCGTATGCCCGTCTTCATTAGCCCAGTTCGGAGCAAAACAGCAGGACGTTAAACCCCATTTCATTTCATTTTCATTTGCTATACATGTTAAGCATGCTAAATAATAACTGATATCAGATGCTTCAGAATTAGCTGTAACCAGCTACCAGCATATTAGTTCCAACTATATGATTTAGAACAACACATTTAAAATGAAATAAAATCCTGTGATTTATAGTATGTTAATTGTCTTTTTAGTATGAAAATATGGTCAGTATTCTTGGATCCTGGACAACAAAAGGACCAACTATGTCAAGACCCAAATTTTCTGACAGTCAAGGAAAGGTAATTAGAAGATAGGTTATTTTCAAATATTTCAAATTTTTTCCAAATAATTTTAGATCAATTTTGGATAAGATACAGTTTATTGGAGTCATTGAAAGTCTATGGGAAAACATTTCAATCATTATTTTGAAACAGTATGGTTGTTCAACAAAAAGTACCATTTATATGCCTGTAGTGCATTTTGGGGGGCTTCTTTGTATTTTTGTTTTTAAGAAATAAAATTCATGTTTTGACAGATTGCTCTCCCAAAAGAATTTTTTGTACCTCCACCAGGCTGGAGATGGGACAGCGAATGGTACATTAGTCCAGAATTAAGGTATGCGCAACCTTTATTTTTATATGCTAATCAGTTGCAATAAGTTGTAACTTTCTATTTATGATACTTCATTATTACTTGTGGGGGTGGAGTGGGGGAAATGGTTGAATGGTTAGCGCGTACGCGTTGTATCTTAACGTCTGTCATTGAGTCATGTGGCATGGTTTTGATTACCCGGTTCCATGTGACAAGGAGTAGGGTCGCCTGTCCAACGTTGTGGGTTTTCTCCAGGTCCTTTGTATTCCTCCCACTGCTAAAGACACCAATGCGCAAGTGAATTATTTTAGTAAAATTGAACCATGTGTTAGTCGCGAAATGACCTGGTTTGTGTAAAGTGGATGTTAAACCTCATTTCTCTCTCTTATTATTACTGATAGTAAAGTGGCCATGTTTGATCTAATGTGCACACATCCAATCCTATGTTTTGTCATTTGGTCATGTGGCTCAATGTTTACAAGCAGTAATAATTACTGGATTATTCTTACTAGATTTTAACTTTTAAAATTGTATATTTTAGTATGATGTTTGAGAAAGATGCTGGTCATAAGAAATTTATTGAAGATATCTATGAATGTCATTCTCGAGGTATACCTGGTGGTACATGGCAGCAAGCTTCCCGACCTTGGTCTGACGTGGTAAATATACATTTGAATTTTGATACTTTATTTTGGAAACACAAACACCCCTCTTAATATCATTGGTGTATGATGCTGATATGATTTCAAATTCAAGGGGAAAATTCATGATTTTCCAGTATATTATATAGAAAAAAGCTCTCCATCTTACCTCCAGGACCTAATTCTGCCATATCAACCAAAGTAGGATCGTTTTCCAGTATAAATCTTGTTTAATAACATGGTTATTTATATATTACACAATATTGAGCACAATATTTATGCATATTAAGCATACAAGCACATTTGTGAAGAATTTGTTATATAAGTATTACCATTATTGATATGTAATAGTATATTTACATACATATACTTGTTTGTTTTATAGAAAGGTGATCAGTGCCCTGGTCGTGATGAAATCGTTCTACAAGAAGGTTGGAAGTGGGATGAAGATTGGCAGGTAGATTTAAACAGAGCTGTAGATGAAGAAGGTATATGAAAACATTTGTAAACTGGATTTTATTTTATAAAAAAATAAATCCAATAATTACTTATAACAGATTTCATAACAGAAGTCCCCCCAAATTGTCATCAAGGTATTGACCCAAAAACAAGAGCTTAGTAATGTTGTTTCTGTAGATTAAAGCCAAATGTTGGTGAATATATTTGGCACGGAGTGGTGTTCAAGGTTTTTACTGGACATAATGTATTAGATATTTGATTATAGCTGTATATAATGTACTAATTGTGTAATATGTTTATTAGGTTGGGAGTATTGTGTTGAATCAACTATTGGTGGATATGGTCCAGTAGAAAAGAATTACCATCTTTGTCGAAGAAGGAGATGGCTTCGATCTAGAACATTAACAATGGATGTCAAGAAAAAAGCAGAACAGGTACTTCTTAAAATTATATCCTGTATTATCTGCTATTAGCTAGCAGTACAAGGATTATAGTAATACAAGATTATATTATAGCAATACAATATTATATTATAGCAATACAATATTATATTATAGCAATACAATATTATATTATAGCAATACAAGATTATATTATAGCAATACAATATTATATTATAGCAATACAAGATTATATTATAGTAATACAAGATTATATTATCTGCTAGTAATATAAGATTTAACCTTCTTATTTTTGTTGGTTGTCCTTAGTATGCACGAGTATTTGTTGACAATGTATTGGATTTCATGAACTCTGAATAATATATTACTTTTTATTTTAATCACTCCACCTTATTTACATTTCAGGAGAAAAAACAAGCTGCTGCAGCTGATGGCTGGGAATATGCTCCACTGTTTAATATGAAGTTTCATGCCATAGAGAGAACTATGGATTTAGTTCGCAGAAGGCGTTGGCATCGTAAAATGGTAGCCGACAATCCCAAATCTTCATGTTTCTTTGCCAGTCAGGCATCAACAGTAAGCATGTTATCTAGGTTTCAAATAATTTGTAAAATCTTAGTCCTTTGCAATTCCCACACAAAATGGAATAAGTAAAGAGTGAGAAATGGGGTTTAAAGTTCACTTGACACTAGCCATGTCATTGAGCATCCATTCATATCCTGCCCTACACGTTATACCTTACATAAGTGTCTTGCTTTGTATAAAATTAATGAAATGAGATGGAGTTTAAAGCCTTGCTTTTCAGCAACCACCAAGCTAATTACTACGGGCATACACCGTACATTGTTCAATGAGGGAAATTCTGTTGGAACATTTTCCATCCCACCCAAACAAGTAGATGCTGTGTCCGATTAAGCCAGGCTGGAAAATCCCAAATAACTTTCTCGGGAAAAACCCAGTACCAAACTCGCTGATGAGCCACCAGCTAAATGAATACATAAACTGAGTTAATGTAAAAATTTTATAATTTTCTTCAGGATGGTGAACCAGCTGCCGAAAATGCCTCTCTAACAGCACCTAGAATGTTTCTCACTTTTGATAGTAAGTTTTTATTTATTCCACAGTTTAAAATATATCTATATTTTGTTATATCAATAGTTGAGGACTCTATTAAGAAAACAAAACAAAAATACCAACTGTAAATGATCTTCTTTGTTTGGTTTCATTAGGATTAAAACGAGACCCATTAATATAATTTACCCAACACTTACAGATGGCACTGGCAAATGTTGCAGTATTTTTAATTCATCATAACTTTGTAAATGCTAAACAGAAGTGAATCATTTAGAGATTCCGTTTTCACAATATTGCAGTTTGTGATACTTTAACCCTTTCACTGCGTATACCCGGTAGTACCGGGTATTATAAAATGTCGGTAAAATGCGCGTACCCGGTATTACCGTGTACTCAGTAAAGCCCTCGCTAAAATTAGTACCGTAACTGCAAGTGCCATCTATACACTAGAACATATTTCCACGTGTTTCAAAGCGGCAAACCGTAAAATGGCGGAGTGCATAGTGACAACGTAGACGATGCACTCTCGACGAAGTCGTGAATGAAGTCTTGCTGACCAACACGTGGACAATTTCGAGGCGGGTGATACACATAATTCGTTTCCAGTTACTTGATAATGATAGTAGTCAGGACAGTGATTGGTATTATGAAGTGTGTGATTTGTTGCGCGACGTTCCGCCCATGGCTAGCTATGTCTCCCGTGCATGATGAACAAGCCCAATGTGAACACGATAGCCCTGTGTCTGCAGTAGATTCTGACAATAATTCTGATGTTGATAATAATGCTGGCCTGCTGGATCATAAAAGACGTAGGCAATTCCTGAGTCCCGAACGTGTAGATCTATTAACTGACTATATTAATAATGATATGGGACTTGGGGATGAAAGTGAAAGTAAAAACAAGGTATTGCAATCCGCACGTGGTCATGGCAGCGGGAGACGTGATGCACGTGTTCGTGGCGGCGGCATTGCTCATGGCTGCTATTGATATTTTTGTTCATTTTATATATCTTTATCAAAATCCAGTGAAAAAAACAATATCTTTTAAGTATTTCATGGAAAAAATTCGTTTTCTTGTTAACTTTAGTGAGAAATGAGAAATCCAAAATGGCCGCCATGACGTCACGTGACTACATTATTATGCAAATTTCCAAAATTCTATTTTTTCCTCTTAGAAAAACCTTATGCCCATCCCAACAGACAAAAAGATTTTTCATAAAAGCTTCCATAAGTACTGCTTGGCATTCAGTTCCAACCTCCCTTTTTTCCTCAAAAAAGGGTCTAGCACAGGCAGTGGATTTACGTCTAGCATTGAAAGGGTTAAACATACATTATGCAAGAGCTAAACCTGCCTATTGCAGGTCTTATTTTAGGCCTGAAATGTTATCTAAATTATTAATTAGACATTAATCAACTCTCGAAGGCATCGCTAGGCTGCGATGTTTATTGAATTAGGTTCCGATTTGTTGTTCGACTTGCTTTCATAATTAAATCATGAAATGGATAATAGAAACTATGTTTTTTATCTCTAAAATCTTGGTTCATAGTGGATCAATTTGACTGAAATTTTCAGCAAATTCACTTTACAGTATCTAGTTTTTAACTATTATAGTGAGAACTGCCAGCTCTTTATCTAATCTCCCATAATGTATCTTTAATAATATTTTGTTATTAAGAATTACATGACTTTTATTTTGTAGAATCATTCAAGTATCAACTACGTGTTTATTTATATCAAGCTAGAGGATTACTAGCTGCTGATGATTCAGGATTATCTGGTAAGAATATTTTTAAAATATGTTCATGCCGAAAAAAAACTGGGTTTATATTCATTAATTATGAAAAAATGGGTTTACTTGCTGTGCTGTGAGATGACTAAACAGTTATATTGTGGGGAGATTTTCAAAATGTACCTGATACCACAGTTCTAGGCACACATCTGAATTGGTGCCACTGTGGTTTATTTTATAATATATTTGTTATATTGTGTATTATAATATATTGGCTTTTGTTTTCCAGATCCATTTGTCCAAGTATCATTTTTGACCCGGAGTATGAAATCAGAGAGAGTAGAGAAGTCTCTGTGTCCAACGTGGGATCAAACGCTGATATTTGAAGATATAGAGATCCATGGTAATCCGAAATCAATAGAATCACAACCACCAGATATATATCTAGAATTGTTTGACCATGATACCTTTGTAAGTTATACTCTTTTAAACTGTAAAAAGAATATAGACTGTGATAGTTGTGATAGAATGTCATAGATTGGATTCTTTTGGTACTCAGTTGCATCGGTACTCATCCAAAACGCAAAATTCCATGTACTCATTGGAAATGCATTTATTTCTCCCTCTAGAGCCCCATACTGATGCAAGTCACATGAATATCTGTTAACTATTGAAGTACTGGTAATTTGTATCGTTTATTTTTCTAGGGAAAACCAGAATTTTTAGGTAGGACTAAAGCCCAACCGATGGTAAAACTTGACCCAGCTGATGCCAGAACACCAGTATTACAATGGTACGATATTATGCGCTATGGTACAGAAGGTGGAGAACTATTAGCAGCATTTGAATTATTTCTTGTGAGTACCTCAAAAATATAACTTAAATACTTTCATTGATTTCTAGGCCTAAAAATTAATATTTTCTGAAAGGTTGAGACTTCCTGAAACTGTTATATACAAGAAACAATAGATATGGCAAGACAAGTGGGTCCAGAAGATCCAGTTTATAATTCCTGGGGTTAGACAAGAAACTTCCTCAGGATTTTCAAGTCTACTTTGCCATTGTCATTGGTCAAGGGCAGAATTCTTGACAAGAAAAGTGTCTAGAAAATCATCTGGTTTGAAAAGATAAGGTCTTGGCAGCATGTCAAAGATTCCCTTGACATCTGGAAATCGAAATAAGAGGAACCTGTAGCATTGCAATCTCAGGGAAAATTTCTCAAACAGCACACTGCGCCTTCATTATCCCAGTTAGTGCAGAAGAATAATGTGTTAAATATAATTTAATTTTCAATGATCTTTCTACCGTGTGGATGGCTGTAATATAGCGATCAATATTATTGATATCAATAACATTTTAGTGAAGTAATGGGCATTAATTATGTTATTGTGACTTCTAGTCTCACCCTCCGACAAGTTTATTTATATCAGTTAAATATTATAAAATACCAAACAATTTATTGAAAACTGACTATATTTACTGAATAATTGTAGAGACCTGTAAGTCTTTAACACGGTGAAATAAGTACTAAGTATTTTATTGATATACTATTCAAAAAAAGTAGGGGATATTTGATTTTTAAGTGTTATTAAAGTCACCTAATGAAACTGACGAAGAAACAAATGACAAAATGAAATGAAGTTCACATTCATCGATTTATTCCAAATGATCGTTAGACTAAGTAAGGCACAGACTGACCATTATAAGGGTAAAATGATACCCGGGGTCAAACAGCAAAGTTACCACAGCATCACAACCAAGTCAGTAACGGGTAAATCCTCCTCTGTTTGCCAAACAAGCATTGATCCGACGTGGCATACTCCTAATGAGACGTCTAAGGTCATTTTGGTCCAGATTGTCCCATTCCTGTTGCAACGCAGCAGCAAGTTCTTGGACATTGGCAGGACGTTGTTGACGTTGACGTAACCTCTGTCCAAGCATGTCCCAGACATGCTCGATGGGGGAGAGGTCGGGACTCAGTGCTGGCCAAGGTAATGTGGTGATGTTCTGTTGTTGGAGGTAACCTGTAACGATCCTGGCCCTGTGACATCTTGCGTTGTCATCCTGGAAGATGAAACGGCGGCCATGACGTCGTGCGAACGGCACAACATGGACTGCCAAGATGTTGTCCCGGTAGTACTGGCCTGTAACACGCCCTGCAACAACATGTAAAGCCGTTCTTCCAGCAACAGTGATGCCTCCCCACACCATAACAGAACCACCCCCAAATCGATCATGTCTGATGACGTTAACGTCTTGGAAGCGCTC